AATGAAAAGTCAGGATGAGACGCCCTGAAGACGCCTTGAAGGCGAAAAAGGATAAACAAAATTCGGGGTGAGGTACAATTCATGTGAACCCTCACGTACAATCGAGCTTAACCTTCATTGGTTACAAGTTCTGGGCAAAAGGCCTGCCTTGCGCTTGTCAACAAACGTCAAGTTGATCCGTTCACGTGTCCCAAGGGTCGGCGACATCGCGGATGAGTCCGCTCAACTCCATTTATGCGCCAGGACTTGTAGAATTATAATGAAGTTGCACATTTCTAAATGATCATGACCAGTAATTGATCAAGTTGTCATCGATTAAATAATTACGTATCCGCAGAATGCGGGGGGCTCGCTTCGCCATCCGAGTTGTGTGGCAGCTGTACCAGCATTTACGTGGATATTCGTCGACGCGATGTTCAAGCGATGTTGCATCATGTCTGCATCATGTGTTCACCACCCAGTTTCTGTACTCCTAAGATAATCGTAGAAAATCAGGACAAAACCCTCAATTTTTGCTCATATTATTGTAAACGCTATCAGTCCCCACCTAGATCTAGAATTTTGAGGGTAGGGAGTAAATACTTGCTGAGATACAAGCCATTCAACCTATTTACATACTGATGCACATTTACGTTCACCAATTTGTACTTGTTTGTCCGGGCCTTTCACCCTTAGTCAATGATTGCTCGCTGCGCTCGCAATTACGTAGGTTCATTCATGCACGACAAATCCACAAGGACAAGATCAAGTCTTTGGAGTTCCCGATCTTGTAATGAATTGTAAGATAAGATGATGTCGTGCATCACAGCCTCAGATGTATTGTCAGGTCTTGTGTAGGGGTCACCAGTTTTTAGAAACGCGAGGACGACAGCCACATGTCAACTTGGATCCGAGCGAAGTGGATCCAATGAAGAACTGCTGTCCCATCGTTGTGGCGGAATGTGTCAAACCGAGGGTAAGTTTGAAGATGTGATGCTCTCGGGTCAGAGTGTAAACCTTATGATTGCATTTGCAGTGGCCCCACTCAAATCTGCTTGCTTTCCAGTAGCTTGTTGCTCTGTTTCAGGTATACATGTTCATAATGTTCTCAATAAATTCACGCATGTCATAAACAATTGTCAATGGTATCAAAACGGTATCCGAGTTTTCGGCTTTTTCGGAAATGCGATCACCACCAAAACTCGTCATAATCTTTTTGATAGAAAAAGGAGTTGTCGAACAGAAGTCGCCTACACACATCGAGGTTCTATGCATTGTCTTTGAAGATATACGCGTTCTCGATGTTTCTTTGTCCTGGTTGGTGGGAAGATGAAATAAATCAAAGATAATTATTGGAGGTCGCCCACAATTCGTACTCATTGAAGATGAAGATAAAACGAAATGAGAACCTTCCCTGACCTTCTCACCTATTTGTTGAATTTCTTTGATGACCATTGGCGGGATAATCCTCCTCTGCGGTGATACTTATTAATATTCCCATAAATTCAAACCCTTTCACCTTCGATACTGCCCTTGATTTTGTTCGTGGAACGCAATATTAATTTTAAGTGATCATCAGGACAGGGACAGTCCAAAGCTGATAAACCGCCGATTTCTTTACCTTGCTTCAGATGCCGTAGATTACCATCCCCCTGTGACACGGTCATTCGATCACGGGCCCGGCTTGAGGCTAAGGAAATCAAGAGTTTGAGGATCCAGTTTACGAGGTTGCTTTCAACATTTAACACCCCAGACCGAGGCGGGATGCACGGCAGGAATTATTTCTTCCCCTACCAGCGGTACTGAGCCTTCCTTTTTCCTTAGCCAGCTATATAATGTTCACCCCCTGCTTCGCGTTACATGGCGTGTCGGGTCATGCGTTCAACTAATCTTGTCAAGTACATGGCGATGATATTGGTTGGCCTCAGATAGGCATTTGAGATCGCAGCGTCAAGATAAGAGAGAAATGCTCCGCCAGCACAGGAAGCCGGTAAGTCAGAGGAAGACCGTTTGATGTATCCAGG